CCCTAACTGTGCCTCAGTTTCCTCCTCTGTAAAATGGGAATAATAATAATAGTACCTGCCTCATAGTGCTCTAAGAGTACTAAATAAGCCCACTCACATAAATCACTTATATCAATCCTTGGTATATAGTATGCTTATTATTCTGCGTGGCTTACCATAACAAAACACTATCCACTACGGGGCTTAAACAACAAAAATTTCTCTTCTCACAGTTCTGGAGATTAGAAATCAAGAGCAAGCTTCCAATCTTTAGAGGAACAACTTCCTCTTGGCTTGATGTCAACCTTCTTGCTATATCATACCCACTCAGCCTTTTCTTAGTGTATGTGCAGCAGGAGAAAAGAGCTTGGGTGCTTCTTCATATTCTTTAAGGGTTCCATCCCTTTCTGATTAAGGCCCCTAGTTTAATCTTAATTACCCCCTAGACACTCTATCTCCAAATACAGTCACATTGGGAGGGAGAGCTGCAATATGAATTTATGGAGCACAAGATTCAGCCTACAGGAGTAATACTGTAATACAGGAGTACATATAGGAATAATACCGGAGTAAATACTGTTGATGCTGCCACTAGTAATGTGTATGTAACTATTGTTACTAGTAATGTAACTAGTAATGTGTATGTAACATACACACATACAAAGGAAAATACAGTTTTACTCACAAACCCAATTACAGAATCTCTAAAGCAAATAACTACCCTCATACCTCAATAAAAAGGTAAACATTTTATTGGAAAATACTTAACTAATACTCATTACAAGATGATCCCTCAGAAACAGCAAACCAAAACTGACAAAATCTTGCTTCTATACCAAGTGAAAAGACTAATTTTGTAAAGTCACCCTTTCCAACTCTAGGCTCCTTTAATTTCTATGATCTCACAAATAACTTTGTTTATCCAGTAAACCAGTTTAAGTGCTCCTAATAACCAGTAAGAACTCACCTGACAATAATCTGAACCTGTCATTGCTCTGGTCATCATTTACCAACCTAACCAAATAGTGATCTACAAAGGTCACTTATGAAGAAGTCTGAAAAATTAAAACCACTTTTCATAAGGGAATTCCCTGTTGGCCCAGTAGTTAGGACTCCAAACTTTCACTGACATGGGCCTGGGTTCAATCCTTGGTCAGGGAACTAGGATCCTGCAAGTCACGTGGTGTGCGGCACAGCCATAAATAAATAAATAGCAAAACCACCTTTCATAAAAATGCTATTTTTAAAAAGAGAAAACATTAAGTCAAGACTTACCCATTAGGATTTTAACAAAATCACATCTATTTAAGAAGGAAATGGGCTTGTCTGGTGGCTCAGATGGTAAAGAATCTGCCTGAAATGCGGGAGACCTGGGTTCGATCCATGGGTCGGGCTGATTGCCTGGAGAAGGGCATGGGTACCCACTCCAGTATTTTTGCCTGGAGAATTCCATGGATAGAGGGAACCAGCAAGCTATATAGTCCACAAGGTCGCAAAGAGTTTGACACAACAGAGCAACTAACACTTTCAGACTTTAAAATGGAAACAACCATTTTGCTCACTAAATGAATTATATTGACTCATAAGGAATAAAATTTTAAGAAATTACTTGAAAGCTCATTTATCTTTAAATTCAGCAAACAATCATACCTTACAGTTATTGCCATGATTAAGTAAAATAAATGTATGTTATTTACCTACTACCTCGCCTAGGACCATACTATTTGATAAGTCTTACTTGCTATATTAGATGTTCTGAGAAATAAGATTCAAAACACTAAACAGAAAATTAACATCCAACTCATTTTCAAAGGGCTCAGAGTTTACCACTGAGTTTAATACAAATGGAGAGTGGCAGAGAGGATCTAATTTTAATTAATCACTAAATATCTTTTACTGAGCTAATGTCTCACTGTGGCCTCCACAAAGCAACAGTCACTCTTAATTCTGTAACCTCTGCGAAGGAAATAAACTGTACTTCATTAAGTGATAGATGCTAAATTAAATGTCATATGTGAGATCTCTGGCGTCTTTCATTATCTAAAGAAAAATTTTTTTCATTATTCCTCCATCCCAACATCTCCCAAACCCAGAAGAAATTATCTTTTCAGTCATTTTCTTTTTTGACAGTAAACAATCAAGCATTGAAAAAATTATGAGGTATCACTGCACAGGAAAAATTCTTCCACAGTCACAGTAAAAAAACAGTTATTACTGTGGTGCTGCATTACAATTAGTGAAGATGATTGCACTGCATGTGGCTGACAAATGTGCTTTCTGATTCCATTAGTATTTTCTTGCCTTCACCTACTGCTATTTCAAAGATATCCATCACATCAAGAAGTACCTAAAATGAGAGAAAGATGTGAAGACTCTAAAGAACAAGTTGATAATTCTTAAGACTTACTCCTGGGTTAAGTAAAAGTTGTTAAGGTAGTTAATACTCTCTTAAACTGAGAAATTAAACAAGTGAACTGAACTCAAGTGAAGTAGAAAGTTATTAAATTCAAGTTAAAAAAAAGCTCTTCCCCAAACCTGCATCCACACACACACTGTCAATTTCTCCCTTGGAACTGTGAATATACTGTACATTTACTCAATTTACCAACTGAATCACATTGGGCATGTTACTCTTTTTTTTAACATGCATAGCTAACACTACTGGAATTTCCTATCCTTCTCCTCCCCTGCAATGTGTGAGTATCAGAATTGGGACTATGTTAAAGAAAAAGAATTACAAATAGGTACCTACCTTTCTTATACTAAAGAAAAACAATGCAGAAAAAGCTTCAAAATACAAATAAATGACTAAAACACCTGTATGCAAATACAAAATTTATCACTTATCTGTGATAACTAAATCTTGACTGAAACTTACAAAAAACTACACCTTGCTTCAAATTATAGTTCCATAGAAATACAGTTGTTACTGTTGTTTAGTAACTAAGTTATGTCTGACTCTTTTGTGACCCCATGGACTGAAGCCCATGAGAAATAAAGAAGTCCCCTTTATCTCAAGGTGCCCAGATACCTGGAACCCTGGAGAGTACCAAACTCTACTTGTTTTTTTTCCAAACATACATATCTATAATAAAGTTAAATTTATAAATTATATGAGACTGACAATAACTAATAATAAAATAGAATAATTATAGTAATTTACTGCAATAAACATTGTGTAGATGTGGTCTCTCTCTCTCTTCCTTAAAAGATCTTACTGTACAAATGTAAAGACTTCTCCATCTTAACTAAACATTTAATTATACTACAGCCATAACCTGTGCAGTCTGAATCACAACAGCAAAACTAGCACAAATTTCCTTCCTCACAATTTCATGATTAGAATATTTATTCTTACCTTAGATCTTAACCTCAGCCTTAACCTCAGATCTTAACCTCAGTCCTTATTAAGTGAAGAACTTTCATCTTTTCACTTAAAGAAAGCACTTTACAGTTTCTCTTTGGCAAATCCAAATTGCTGGCATCACTACTCTTGTGTTGTGGGCCTAATATTAAGTAACATAAGGACTACCTGAACACAAGAACTGTGATATCTCCACAGTTGATCTGATAACCCAGACAGATGGCTAACTAACAAGTAGGATACGCTGGACAAAGAGATGGTTCATACCCCAGGCTGGAAAAAGCACAAAATTTGAATTTATGAATTATTTCCATTTAATATTTTCAGACTGAGATTGACTATAAGTAAATGAATAGAAAGAAAACAAAAGCTTAGATAAGCGGGGATTACTATACTCAGGTTTGAGAAAGTAACTAAAAAGTTAGATCCTATTTTTTTTTTCCTTTTTTAAATTTACTTATTTTTCTTTTTTTTTAATTTTTTTTTTCATTTATTTATATTAGTTGGAGGCTAATCACTTTACAATATTGTAGTGGTTTTTGCCATACATTGATATGAATCAGCCATGGATTTACATGTGTTCCACATCCTGATCCCCCCTCCCACCTCCCTCT